CCATTTCATACCTGACAACACTTTAAACCTAACTTTAGAATTGTGTTTCATACTCTGATTTTTAAAAATAAAAATCCTGGAAATAGAGCGTGCTCAACTATTACTTAGCTTGTCCAGATTCAGTGGGGGGGACTTGTGTTAGGTATAACAAGTTACTGAACCACTCTGTCTAGACTTCAATAAACCTATTCCAAGTGTAAGTCCATTCAAATGTGTGTTTTTGGAGGGGAAGGGGTTAAATGAGACTCTACAAACTTATCTGGCCTTAACTTGCCTGCCTAGATCCAAAAAAAATGAAGGTGTCCTGTATTGTCTGAAATGTTGGATTGCTGGCATAAACTAGGATTTTTAAATGCTTAATTATTTACATGATAAAAACTTAAGACCATAAGGGTATCTTTTTTTTGTTTTTGCAGAGGGGCTGAAAGTTAACATTGTAAAGCTTGGTTTGGGATGGCTCTTCCAAAGCCACCAAAATAATTGTTTTGAAGAATTAAATGGTTGTCTTGGTGCCTCTCTGTGGCCAGCAGGGGCTGCCTGTGCAGACTTGCAACTTGTTAGCATCCATGGGATGGTAAAATGTGGGTCCACAATTTATTTGCAAAGAAAAGAAAAGCCAGTCCTTTTTTCCTGTGAGCTGGCACAGCTTTTGAAGGTACTGACTAGCTCTGCTTGGAGGCTCCAGGTGGAGAAATCGCTGCAATGCCTTGCTCCTATGGACAGTTAGTTTCCCCTCCAACACTCCCTTCCCCCATGGAAGGAGGAGGAAGGGGGGAGGCCTTGCTTTCTAGGGCTAAAAGTAGAGGACCGGTTTAACTTGGAGCTGATTGTTCTGGGTTTTGACTGGCATCAAAAGAGGCAGGGACAATCCTTTATGACGATTACCATTGAATGGCAATTAGCTTTGACTGTCCCAGGGCAGAAAGTTTTAATTCTGATATCTCACAGGTACTTGAAGTGGGACTTTTTAATTTTAAACCCTGTATGTCAATCTTCTATTAACACTGATTATTTTAGAAGCGAACTTGCAGATACATTTACTGATGTCTACTGTATTGTGAACTTCAAATAGCAAATGTACTTTATTCCGTACAGTCAGCTGTATCTGCAGCGAAATCATCACAGCAGTCAAGAAGGCAAACAAAATGTCAGGGATTATGTCAGGGGCTGGAAGGGACCTGTCAGATCATCGGGTCCATTATGGAGAAGGAAACCGAAAATAAAGGCTAACGTATCATGGTGCCCCTTTTAAAGTCCCTGGTGCATCCACACCTGAAATACTGTGCCTAGTTCTGGTCCCCATGTTTCCAAACAGGGCGGAGGAGAACTAGAGAAGGGCAATAAGGATGATGAGCTGTGCAGGGGGGCCTCCAGATGTCATGTCACAGCCACTGCACGGTTACGTGGGGCACCTCAGATGCTGCAACAACCCCCCCCTTGGTTTGCTGAGTTGCTTTGCATCGTCGATTCGCTGGGTGCCCATCTCCTCTCCGGCTCTGGATGACCCTTGGTTTGCCCGCCTGAAATACCGCCACTCTAGCGGTACCAGAGAGCAGATTTGGGAGGCCTGCCCAGTTTAGGACTGCTGTTTGGGCAGGCTCAGGGTTTCCCCCGCCGCAGGGGGTTGTTACATGAATCCACTCTCTGGCCAGGAGGGGTCACACCAGCACTAAGTCTCCGAGGAACAACAGGCCGGTCCTTTGCAGGTGGTGAGCCAGCGGCACTGGCTGCCCGCGGGTGTTGCGGCACCTTGCCAGGCGCGGCTCCCCGGGGCAGGGCAGGGCAGGGCAGTGCCGGGCGGTGCGGTGCGGTGCGGTGC